AAATACAAAAAATACCAAAATACTATCATTAAAACATAATTAAAAAGAAATATTAGATTGGCCTTTGTTATTTTAAAATTATATTTAAAACCCCGCTAAAAATTACCCCTTAGGCCAGTCCTGCTAGTTGAAATAGCCATGTCTTAAGGGCGCGGCGGAAGGAAGGGAGATCCGGGATCACCCGGATCTCTGGGGGTAGCTCGTTCCAGAGGGTGGGAGCTCCCACCGAGAAGGCCCTCCCCCTGGGGGTCGCCAGCCGGCACTGTCTGGCCGACGGCACCCTGAGGAGACCCACTCTGTGGGAGCGCACTGGCCGATGGGAGGTAATCTGAGGCAGAAGGCGGTCTCGGAGGGGGGGGAAATCCCTGCTTTTGCTTTTATTTTTTCAAATCATAAACATTGAGGCCTGTACATTACAGTATATTCCCCTCTCCAGAAGAGGCCCTGAACCTCTGGCCTTTTAGAAAAAGATGGGAATTGACTTTATGATCATACTGTCTTGTAAGATCTGAGACAGCAAGCAGAAATAATATACATACCCAAATAATTTTGCTAAACATATGAAGGCTTTTCTACCCACACGCTACATGGAGTCAGCAAACAAGGAGCGGGAATCATATTCTCAACAGTGAATGCCTTATTTTCAGAGAAGATGAAAACAGCCCAAGCAATGCTAATATTCCCAAAAGTTTGAGATTACATTGGGTTCCTAGAAAAAGTGTACCTTAAGATCTGTACAAAAGGCAGAATACGTCTGTCTTCAGGACGAAGAAAAACAAACGCACCATAAACACACTAAAAGCAGACTTCTAATTTGGCCATTTTAATATTTTAAGAATGATTCTCCAACCCAGATACCTAAAACTAATCTTAACTCAGATATATATTAAATTGAGGGTTCTTGTTCAGTTGTTTGAGACAGAGACCTTCTTTCACTGAAACCTTCACTTATGCCATCTCTTTTTCATGGCTGACATCTCATTTTTTGAAAAGGCTTCTTTCATCCTGTGAAGTGAAAAGCAAGTTTACCAAAGGAAAAAGCTGTCTGAACTGTTTCCTTTTCCTTTATTCTTGTCTAAACTCTGGCTGAGGAATTTGCTTCGCTTGTGTTTTGCTTAAAGAAAACGTAGGTGCTCTAATGCTAGTGATCTTCCCAGGCTGTTGCCAAGCTAACCAATTATTTATCAGGCAACACTACATTTCTGGTTAACCTGAGCAAGTAAATCATAGGGTCCAAAGCTATCTTAATACTTAATAACATGAGACACTTCAATATTCACTTGACTTTAAAAACAACAAAAGAAAAATCCAGCAAAGGGGTCCAGTTGATTCAACCATAAGGTGTCCACTTATTCAAGCAGCGCTTTTAATTTGTTGTGCAGAACTAGTGCCATTTATGTGGAACTAAAATTGGCTCCATCCCAAAAGAATCTGAAGAGGAGAATAGCTCACTTGTTAAGTTAAAGTGGTGTCTACAGAAAAACTTAGTGTGTTCGTCTTAGTGTAAACCTCACTGACTTTGAGTAACCCTTCTCAGTGAAAATATATAGTAGTGAATTAGGACCACAATCAAAGTCTTAATACTTGGTTCCAATTTATTATGGCTAGATCTGAGTTAAGCAGAGATGGGCAGTCATGAACCTGTGCCATCCTCAGTACCCAGTTTGCAGTTAAGTTATCTTTACCAAAATATGGTGGCAAAATAATAGAACTTTGGGGGATAGTGTTTCTGGTTTTAGAGGGGTTTTTTTTCTGAATTAAGGGAAAGCTTCTGAGAGATAAATGATAGTACAAGCAACATACTGCAAGTATCAAAAAGGGATAAGAAATAATAGCATTTTTTTTCTTCCTAGTTTTTTCCCTCAAGTGTAGGATCCACTTTTTTCAGATCAACGAAGTGTTGGTTGCAACAAGAATTGACTGACCACCTAGTTGCCTGAGCCTGACATTGTGGGCTGAAAAAGAGAGACTGGCCCAAATCACCCTGCCAGCTTTCATAGATAAGGCAGGACTAGAAATCACAGTCTCCTGGTTTATAGCCTGGTGTATTAATCACTAGACCAAATTGGCTCTCGAATAAGAAATAAATAAGATTAGAGCATGGAGTAAAAAGAAGAAAAAATATATTTAAATCTAGCTTACACCAATGTCATTCATCCTTCTTTTCCATACCTGCCTAGGGGCATTCTCCAAAAGTCAACACTTTTGAGTAATGAGATGTCCACTATAATGTCCTGACACAAGCTCCATCCCTAACATACATACGTGTGATATTGTAGCACAACTACAAAAGGGGAGATAGTGTGCTTCACAATTGAGGACACACATTTCATCTTTTATGCGTTTCCCCTTGCTTCTATACTTCTATGCACCAGTATAGATATCATTTTGTTCTATAAACCTCTCAACTCTTTCTGTTTGAGAACTTCCACCTCATCCAGCCACTATAGTGGTGCGTGATCAAAAACATCCCAACGGAACTATTTCAAAAGTTCTTGGGTGCATCTAGCTGTGTGCAGGCAAGCATTATCGTGAACCAACACCACACCGGACGTGGTGCCATAGAAAATCCCACCAAATGTGAAGATGCCAAAGGAGTACTGCTAGTAAAGTTCATGGAGTGTGGTCCGACTATCAGTTCAGAAGTCTACTGTGAAATGTTATTAAAACTCAGACAAGCCATCCATAACAAGCGTCAGGACATGCTGACTTCCGATATTGCTCACCCGCACACCGCTAGACGCACCCAAGAACTTTTGAAGCAGTTCCGTTGGGTTGTTTTTGATCACACACCCTCATAGCCCAGATTTGACGCCAAGCGACTACTACTAAGGAATTTCAAACCTTGTAAGACGTTATGACAAGTGCCTCAATTTGAATGGTGATTATGTCTGTCATTGATAACCAAACAGAGGTTTATTTCCAAATTGCCCTCGTATATAGTTGTTTTGATAATACAAGTTGAATCCATTCTTAGAATGTGAGGGTTTTTTATTCACTTACAAAAAATACTTCAGTCATATAAAGAGAATAAATGAGCACAAATTGTAGAATAAATGCATACAGAAATACAGAAATAACTGAGACTGAAAAAGTAGTGTCTGGATGAGATGGAAGTTCTCAAACAGAAAAGTAATGTAATGT